TGCTCTCATTCTGTAGGCTCTCTATTCACCTAAGTTTTTCTTTTGCTAAGAAGAAGCTTTTTAGTTTGAATCCATCCCATTTATTGATTCTTGGTTTTAATTCTTATGTTACAGGAGTTTCATTAAGAAAGTTGGGGCCAAAACCGACATGATAGAGATTTTCCCAGCCTATTTTTTTTTTAAAGGCAATGGCTTTTTTTTTTTTTTTTTAGAGAGAGAGAGAGAGAATTTTAATATTTATTTTTTAGTTATCGGCGGACACAACATCTTTGTTTGTATGTAGTGCTGAGCATCAAACCCGGGCCGCACGCATGCCAGGCGAGCGCGCTACCGCTTGAGCCATATCCCCAGCCCTTCCCAGCCTATTTTTATTTTGAGACAGGGTCTTGCTGAGTTGCTTAGGGCCTCACTAAGTTGCTGAGGATGGTTTTGCATTTGGGATCCTCCTGCCTCAGCCTCCCCAGCTGCTGGGATTACAGGCATGTGTCTGGCAGGCTGATTATATTCTTATGACAACTCCAAAAGTTGGCTTCACAACTTCATCACCTTAGAGACTTTTTTGCCTATAGTGATTAAATATCCATTTGCATTCCCTCTCCCTCTCCCTCTCCCTCTCCCTCTCCCTCTCTCCCTCTCCCCCTCTCCCTCTCCCCCTCCCCCCCTCTCTGGTACCAGGGATTGAACATAGGAATGCTTAACCACTGAGCTACATCCCCATCCCTTTTTAATATTTTAGAGACAGGGTCTTGCTGAGTTGCTTGGGGCCTTGCTAAATTGCTGAGGCTGACTTTAAAATCAGGATCCTCCTGCCTCAACCTCCTGAGCTGTTGGGATTACAGGTGTACACCACTGCACCCAGCTCCATTTGCATTTCCAAGAAATGCCCTCCCACTATTTCACAGCCCTCCTAATAGAGCTATATCAATTTTTTTGTGTACAAATCAACGGTATTTCCATAGAATAGTTTCCATATGGATTATCCCCATGTTAACTTATTAAAACAGATATAAGAGAGGCATTTTAAAAAACATGATGAGGGCTGGGGTTGTAGTTCAGTGGTAGAGCGCTTGCCTAGCTTGGGTAAGGCACTGGGTTCAATCCTCAGCACAACATAAAAATAAACAAAATAAAGATATTGTGTCCATCTACAACTAAAAAAAATCTATTTAAAAAAGTGAATTATCACTGCACACTTATCAGAATGGCTTTTTTTTTTTTAAAGGTGACAACACCAGATGCTACTGAAGATGCAGAAAAACTAGATCATGCATATATTGTGGGTGGGAATGTAAAATAGAATAGGCTCTCTAAAAAATAACTTGGCAATTTCATAAAAAATGGAACAAATATCATATCATCCAGAATTTGCACTTCTGGATATTTATCCCAGAGAAATGAAAACTCGTTATTACACAAGAAGGTGTTCATGAATGTTGATAGCAACTTATTTCATAATAACACCAAACTGGAAACAGCCCAGATATCCTTCAAATGGTGAATGGATAAAGAAACGGTGGTATATCCATACAGTGGAATGAACTGCTGACACATGCAACAATTTGGGTAAAACCCAAGAGAATCATGCTGAATTGAAACAGAATCCCCAAAAGGTTGCATACTGTGTGATTCTATTTACATAACATTTTTAAAATGACAAAATTATAGAAACAGAGAACAAATTAGTGGTTTCCAGCAGTTAGAGATAGGAGGTAAGGAGAAAATTGGTCCTGGGTCTCAAAAGTCAACAGGAGGGATCCTGTAGTGATAGAGCTGTTTTTCTCCTTGATCCTATCAATGTCAATATCCTGGTTGTGATAATGTACTGTATTTGGCGGGGGGGAGGTATGGGATTGAATTGAGGGGCATTGGACCACTGAGCCACATCTACAGCCCTATTTTGTATTTTATTTACAGACAGGGTCTCACTGAGTTGCTTAGCACCTCGCTTTTGCTGAGGCTGGCTTTGAACTGGTGATCCTCCTGCTTCAGCCTCCCAAGCCATAGAGATTATAGGCATGTGCACGGCACCCAGGCTAATGTACTGTATTTTAATAAGATGTTACCATTGGGGTTTTGAAACTGGGTCAAGAGTACTCTAGATCTCTCTATATGATTTATTTCAACCACATATGAATCTACATCATCTGAAAAAAAAAAGTTTAATTTAAAAAACAGCAATAGCGACAAACAGTGAATCTTCTCTAAGAGAATCATCAGAGTGGAGAGTGGCCTGAAAGTTATGTCCCAGAGTGACGACTGAAGGGTCTGGAGGTGGAGTATCACCTGGAGAAGAGAACTCCTAAGGGCAGTATGTAGACAGCTGCTATGCAAAAGAGGATTAAATAAGAATCCATGGTGAGAAGGTACAAAGAGAAGATTTCATCTACATATCTGGAAGAACATTCTATGACACCTCAGCATTAGGGTAAAGAGGTTTCCAGGACATGTCCTTAGAAGGGGCAAGGTAAGGGTAAGAAAGGAATAATTGTTGAACTAAACAGAAAAGAATAATTCAGCATTTTGCAATTTTCTCCTCAGAGGAACTAGGGGAATTGGAAGGATATTCAGGAAGGTGCTAGGACCTGCTTCAGGTGTGCAAATTACTGCAGACAATGAGAAGGTGGACTGTGTGTGCCCACTTAGGGGAAGGTGCTTGTTAGCTGGGTAAATGCTGGGTTCTTTACCCAGCAGGGTTTGTATTTAGAGGAAAATATTATTCAAGCCAGAATTCATAACTCCTGCATGTCTCACTCAATCAGCAGGACCCCAGAGAGAGCTGAGAGGAATTCAGGAAGATTGCCGTGAGGATAACAGCAAGACACTGGCAAGTGATTTTCAAATGGGCAACTTTGCCCTTTGAAAGGCTGTGCCAGTCACTGGAGTAATTTCAGATGAACAGGCACATTAGGAAAATTACTACTATTATGCATTACAAGGTTACAAAGAACGCATGTGTCCTTTTATAACATCACATGAAAAAAGTCTTAGAAGTGTTGTGTTTTCCCAACTTTGGTGGATGTGTTCTCACAGATTTCCTTCAAGCCTATTTCCCATAATGATGCTGTTGGTGAAGTTCCTGATTTCTACTAGGGCTGGTTGTAAGGCAGGATTTCTTCAAGGATTTGTACAGGAACTTTCTGCTTTCTTTTACGGGTGGCTAGTGGGCTATATTCTTACTGAAATGTGAAGATAATCTGAAGTGTTGCAAGTTAAATCCCATCCTGCCTGTGTCAAAATTGCATGTGATGTGCTGCAAAGAACATCAGCAACAAAGTGCAAAGACAATCTACAGAATGGGAGAAACTGTTTGCCAATCACATATCAGATAAGGGACTCACGTCCAAAATATGTAGGGAACTCTGACCACTCCGTAATCATAAGACAAATACATAGTTAAAAAGTGGCCAAAGGTGTTGGGGTTGTGGCTCAGCGGTAGAGTGGTCACCTCGCACGTATGCAGCCTTGGGTTCGATCCTCAGCACCACATAAAAATAAATAAATAAAATGAAGGTATTATGTCCAACTACAACTAAAAAATAAATATTAAAAATAAATCTTTTGGCCAAAGGATTGCTCCCAAGAAGTTATACAAATGGCAAATAAGCATATGACAATAGGCTCCCCATGGTTAGCCATCAGGGAAATGCAGATTCAAAGCACAATGCTATACCTCTTCACACCCACTAGGATGGTTGTAATAAAAAGGATAGACAATAAGTAGCAGTGAGGATGCAGAAAGAATCCTCCTGCACTGCTGGTGGGAACGTCAAATGGTACAGTCACTTTGAAAAACAGTGACAGTTTCTCCAAAGGTTAAACATAGATTTATCATGTGACCCAGAAATCCCACTCTTAGGTATATACCTGAGAAAAACCTATATCCACACCCTGTACAAGTTTATTTATATGAAATGTCCAGAAGAGGTGAATCTATAGAGACAAAGTAAATTGTGGTTGCCTAGGGCTGGGTTTGTTTGGGTTGGGAGGTAGAGGCTAATTTCTAATGAGTACTGTTTTTTTTTTTTTTTTGATGGGGATTAAAATGTTCTAATATTGTGGTGATGGCTGAACAGTTCTATGAATATACTAAAAAAAAACATTAAATCATACACTCTTCATGAATGAATTGTATGGTATGTGAATTGTATGTCAATAAATCTGTTACTAGAGAAGAAAACACTCAAAAAACTTGTGACAATGTCTAGTACATTCTATGATTTAAATATAATTTAACGGTTGCGACTAAAATGGTGGGTTGGAAGCAGAGTGAAGACCCTTTGGGGTTTACAGCATTCCATAGAATCTATTTTCAACAAACAAGGTTTGTTGCTGGTGCCTCCTAGTGCTTTGTCAAGGTCACAGTGAAAGTCAGGACAAACTGGACTCTAGGACCGGGCTCAGGAAGGCCATGCGTTTGGCAACTGAGGATAAAATGAAGCATCTGTTCTTACCAATGCTGAGTTCAAACTACATCTGTATTTAGTTTGGAATTGAATATTAACGTCAAATCTGTGCTTTGAAAGAGTCTTTACCCTACTTGAAAGCTTCAACTTGTTTAAGAAAAAAGTAATCGGGGCTCCTAATAGTGGTCAGACTAGAGGGATGGAAAAAAAGAAAAGAAAAAAAAAAAAGGCTTGAAATTCCTGGCTCCGCAACTCCGGGAGCTGCCCAGGGGAGGCGGCAGGGGGCGCCCTCCTTGTTCCTGCCCCGCCGCCCTTCCCAGCCGCCCCCTCCGCTTGCCCTGACGTCCCCAGCCCCCGCCTCTTTCTCGCGGGCCTTCAAAGGGCGCTCGGGGCAGCTGGGCTGGAGCTTCAGTCCGCCTCTGAGGGGCCTTTGGCGTCACCTGGCTGCCGCCAGGCCACCTGTTGCTCTCTGGGTCCCGCGTCCCAGGAGCAGGTGCCGGGACTGCGCGGACGCTGCAACTTGTGGCCCCCAGCGGACTCCCAGCCGCCAGCCACTGGCTCTGAGGAGGTTTCGGGGAAGGGCACGCCGGCAGTCACATGGAGAGCGGCAACGGGACGCCCCTGGCCGGGGCACTCGGGGCGGCGGCCGAATCCCCCCAGTGCCGGTTGCCGCCCGGAGGGGAGGGCGCGACGGGGCTGGCTGAGCCCGACCGAGCCGCGGAGGACGCTGCAGCAGGCAGCTGCGGCGGGAGCGGGGGCGGGCCACCGCGGGCTCTGCGGGCAATATACGTGCGCAGCGAGAGCTCCCAAGGCGGCGCCGTCGGCGGCCCTGAGGCCGGGGCTCTGCAGTGCCTGCTTCGGGCCTGCGAGGCTGAGGGCGCCCACCTCACCTCCGTGCCCTTCGGGGAGCTAGACTTCGGGGAGACGGCGGTGCTCGATGCCTTCTACGATGCAGGTGAGGGCGGGTGCCCCCTTTGTCCCCAACCCACTCCAGCTTTCCTTATCCTCCCAGAAGCCATGGCACTCCCTCCCTGGGTCGCTACCCTTAGTTCCCCTCCCCGCTCCCCATACTCCCTGAATTTTAGACAAGACCACCAAGGTAGTGTCGTGCCCTTTTAAACATAAGAAAATAGAGGCCACTGGCATTTAGACCCTTTATCCTTCAGTCTTTTAAAATATCCCATAACCCAAGAAGCAGCCAGTAACCCAGATGATGCTGAACATCCCTCCCCCACACACAGCAGCAGCCAAAACCCCAGTTCTCCAACTTTTCTCACTCCTGGCATGCCCCATACTGGCATGGGTCCCAGTTGCAGGATTCACATTAGAATCACCTGGGGAGCTGTTAAAACTCTCCATGCCCACCCCAGGCCAGTGACAACGCGGCACGGAAGCCTCAGGGGTGCTTAATGCTTCCCAGTGATTTCACCTCGCAGCCAAGAGCTGGAATCGGTGTCTTACAAGTGGTGTGGTTTTCGCCTCTTAGAAATACTCCGGTATTCTTTTGCACAATTTAATTCCTGACACCAACACATGCTGATGGTGGGGTGTATTCTACCACAGTGTATAAGCATTCAGGGGTTCAAGGTCTCCATTGCTGGAGTTGGATACTAGGTCTCTAGGTAAGTGTGCCCTACCAATTCAGCCTTCAAATCAGTACATCAAGTTGGAAGAAATTTCTCCAGGTGTGCAATGAGTTGTTTTTTTCTTTTAATTTTTTTAAGTTGTAGATGAACACAATATTTTTATTTATTTTATTTGTTTTAGTTTTCGATGGACACAACGTCTTTATTTTTATGTGGTGCTGAGGATCGAACCCAGCGCCCCGCACATGCCACGCGAGCACGCTACCGCTTGAGCCACATCCCCAGCCCTATTTTGTTTATTTTTATGCGTTGCTGAGGATCGAACCCAGTGCCTCACATGTGCTAGGCAAGCATTCTACCACTGAGCTACATCCCCGGCCCCTGAATTGTTTTTCTTATGATGCAACTTTGGTGACAAGCTTTTGGCATTTGAGTGACATTTATAAGCATTAGATGTGAGATAGTAATTACCTGGGAATCCTTGTCTTCCACTGGTCAAAACGGAGTAACAGTGTCTACCTTAAACCTAAAATCGTATGAGAAGATCAGTGGGGGATTGCCCTTAAATTCTGGGCATGCAGTCCTGTCATAGTACTTAATTGTATGTGTTTCTGAGTGGTGTTGGGGATGGAACCCAGGGCTTCATGCATGGTAGGCAAGCACTCCACCACTGAGCTACACCCTCAGCCCAGATAATTCTCTTTTTACTGGTGGCAGCATGGATGTGGTTCTTCTGCGGAGCAAATCCTCCCCAACTGTAAGGGGGTGGGGTGTCAGGCTTGTTTAAACAAGTGGCAGCTGGACCCATTGAGAAAACACTCTTGACATTTTTGACTGTACTGACTATACCCTTCAGCACCTCATCTTTTTGAGAAGTTGTTCAGGAGGCTATTCACCTAGAACTACTTGGTTTTCTCCACTTCTGTTCATTCTACTCCAAGGTTAAAGCTTGATCAGACCCTTCTCTGAATGTCCCTTTTGCCATTAGGCACAACTCTGTCCTCCTGCCTGCTGGTGTCAACTCTGAAAAATGTACGTGCAATGGCTTTACTTTTGTGGGACTCTGTGTGTGTGGACACATGCATGTGTACCAGGTTTTCACCTGCTAATAGTGTCCCTTCTAACAGGTTGGGTGTGAAGGCTCAGATATCAAATCTCAGGCTTTCAATTCCAGAGCTACTGAACAAGGACATCAGCTTTGCTTGCTTGGGGTCTAGATTGCCTTGAATTTTTGATTACGTCATGTATCTCTTTTGGTTAACCTTGTCCTGGTCTTGAATAGGTCTTGAATTGACTTCTCAATACCTTGTTATAATCAAATTATTTAAAAAAATTTTTTTATAGTTGTAGATGGACAGAATGCCTTTATTTGTTTATTTTTATGTGGTGCTAAGGATCAAACCCAGTGCTTCACACATGCTAGGCAAGTGCTTTGCCACTGAGCTACAGCCCCAACCCCAAATTATTTTCATAGTTTTGAAAAAGGGTATGTAGCAACTGTGATGAGTTCGTTTATGAATTAAATAGATGATCTCCCCACACCCACACCCACTCCTGGCTTTTTTTTTTAAA